TCAGAACGTGTTCAGCTGGACAAGCCAGGGGTCCCTACAGATGTCTGAAGTCAATGAGGAGACGAGGAAAGAGCGTTCTTCCAAAAGCTGGGGTTGGATTTTACTTACAGAAGAGAAAACATTTTTGTTGTTTGAGTTAGGGTCTCATACAGTTGAGAATGATCTTGAACTTTTGACCCTTCTGTCTCCTTTTTTTTTTCTTTTTGAGACAGGATCTCCCTGTCCCAGGTGGCCTGGAACTTGCTATGTAGACCAAGCTGGCCTCAATCACACAGAGATCTGTCTGCCTCTGTTTTGATCAAGGGTGTGCATCACCACCCTGGCTCTCTCTCCCCATTTTTGAGTGTTGGGATTACACGCATGGGTGATCACGTCCAGTTTATGCAATGCTGGGGTTAAAACCCAGGGCTTCATACATGCCAGGCAAGCACTCTGTCAACTGATCTACATCCAGCCATTGAGATGGCTCAGCAGGTAAAGGCATCTGCCACTAGCTGAGGACTATGAGTTCATCCCTAGAACCCACAAAGTAGGAAAGAACAGACTCCTGCACATTGTCCTCTGACCTCCAAACACCACGCTGTGGCCCATACATCCCCAATAAGTAAATAAAATATAATTAAAAACAAGTTGAGAAACTGCAAAATTGGCTTCCCTTTGGCATACAGACGTGTGAATGTTGACACATGCACAGTCCACACCCTATCTTGCAAACAGAACACCTCACCCACATGTGAGCACAGTTCCTTTGCAGTAACCTCCTCTCAGTCCCTGGTGACCCCTGACCTGTTCTCCACCCTGGCCCCTATCGAACATCAGACACAGGGAATCGGACTAGATGTTTTTCCAGTCCTGGTGTGAGTGACCGGTTATTGGTCCTCTGACTTCTGGTCTGCATGATGGATGGGGTCAGGGTTGGTGGTGGGCACAGTCCTCATCGGGATCACGGCATTTGCTGAGGCTCGGCTGGGATGGTGGCGGGACCTTCCGGAGCAGGTAGGTGCTTTATGCTGTTCATATTGCTGTGACAAAGAGGTGGGTGACTTAGAAACAGCAGACACTTAGTTCTCACAGTTCTGGAGGCTGGAAGTTCAAGGTCAAGGCGTTGGCAGGAACAAAGTCTGGTGGAACCTTCCAAGCACCTTCATTTGGTAGAGGTGGTGACCAGTTCCCTTAGAGCTCTTTTGTAAGGGGACCGTTCATCCATGAAGGTGTAGTCCTCACAACCTAGTCATTTCCCAGAGGCCCCCCTTTCACTACTGGGGAGCAGGCTGGAGCGACAACAGCATCAAGGATAGAGTGGAGGGTTTGAGGAGGCTGCAGGCTCTCAGACTTTTGGGGATCATTCACACAGAGCCTTGTACTGCTCAGGGAAGTAGAGACTCTGGCAGATCATGGAAGGCTGTAGAATGTCACTCATCTCAGAGAACCTCTTATATTCTAGGCTCTGAAAGTGGCTGGTTTTTATATCTTGCCTAGCAGAGTGGAAAAATAAGCTGGACAGTGGGCAATGGGACCCGTCTCTCCAAGGAAATCCCTACAGGAGCGGCTGGAGTGGGAGGCAGGCTTCGGAAGGCTCAGGAAGAAGTCTTTATTTAGGCACAGGAATTTTGGGTGGGTGGGATCAAGGAAGAGGGAAAGGAATCGGGTTAGGAAGGAGCAGGGGTCAGCTGTAGGGCTCTGGCTTACCTGTGCTCTGCAGTGTGGGGCCTGTGCTGGCTACTCATCTGCCCAGATGTCAACAAAGTTTCTCCTCCCCTAGGTCTTCTCCGTGTACTTCCCATGGGGAAATGGGAAAAGGTCACTCTTTCCCTGGTGTCTTGAAGATAAAGATTCCACCAAGCAGCTGGGTGCGGTGGCTCACGCCTTTAATCCCAGGATTTAGGAGGCAGAGGCAGGTAGAGCTCTGTGAGTTTGAGTTTAAGGCCAGTCTGGTCTGCATATCAAGATCCAGGCCAGCTGGAGCTGCACAGTAAGACCATGTCTCAAAAAAAAAAAAAAAAAAAAAAAAAAAAAAAAAAAAAAAGAGAGAGATTCCCCTGTGTTCCTAAGGCCACTGGAAGGTTGCACATGTGAACTTGTGGCAATGGTGGCATCTAGCATAAGACCCATGCCAACTCAATTGAACAAGGGCTCAAAGGGGAGAGAAATAGGTGGCAGGCTGGCAGAACTATTGGAGACTGATTGCTGCTGGGTGAGAGTATGACTTACGTGGGATCTCTGGAAGGACAAACTTAAACTGAAGGGCATTAGGGTACTGAAAAACAAAAGTCAGGCGCCATGAAGTCTCTCAGGCAGGTCACGTACCGGTCAAGAATTCTAACTTACTGATAAACAAGTTTTATGGTTGAGACATCTGGACTTACTGATAAACAAGTTTTATGGTTGAGACATCTGGACTTACTGATAAACAAGTTTTATGGTTGAGACATCTGGACTTACTGATAAACAAGTTTTATGGTTGAGACATCTGGACTTACTGATAAACAAGTTTTATGGTTGAGACATCTGGACTTACTGATAAACAAGTTTTATGGTTGAGACATCTGGACTTACTGATAAACAAGTTTTATGGTTGAGACATCTGGACTTACTGATAAACAAGTTTTATGGTTGAGACATCTGGACTTACTGATAAACAAGTTTTATGGTTGAGACATCTGGACTTACTGATAAACAAGTTTCATGGTTGAAACATCTGGTCGTCCCCCGGGTTCGATACCGGGAAATCAGGAAACCACGTCTGTGTCCAGAGGTCACCACCCATTTAGCCACCCTACTTCCTCATACCTTGTACCCGCTTTCCCCATAGCATTTTGTAATAGTTTGAATTAGCCAATAACCGCGCTTCTGCTTCTGTATCCTGCTTCTGCTCTATAAAAGTTCCAAAAACCCGGCCTGAGGCGTGCAAGTTCTCCAAGGAGACTTTGTGCCCACAGGTACCTGTGTGCTAAATAAACCTCTTGCTGTTGCAACCCGAAGGCTGACTTGTCCTCAGTGGTTTCACTCTTACAATAAAACCAGAAGAAACAGAAAATCAGGGAGAACCAATTCTTTGTCAGTGTGAGGGCTTATTTTTCTTCAACAATTATACTAGTCTTTGAAATTACACTAATTCTGTCAGTACAACTCTGAATGACATAAGAATATATCAATATATACATCTTTTATAAGAGTATGTCAATATAATAAAATGTAGGTTTCATTGTGATA